GGGTGGGATATTAAAGGGAGCGGGGAGTGAGGGGGAGAGTGGGATTAGACTGGGTGGGATATTAAAAGGGAGCGGGGAGTGGGATTAGACTGAGATTCCTATTGGAGCAGTGCTGATGGTGATGGATGATCTCAGTCTGTGGTGTGACGCCCAATGGATCTGAGGGAGGGTTCTGTGTCAGGACAGTTGTGGGGGGAGGCAGAGGGTGGGGGTTGGTCCTGGTTTTTACCGATTGTGGTGATGACTGTCCCAGCGAAAAAGAACGAGCTGCCCAGGTCCCAGCTGGTGCTGACATTACTCCTGTTTCCAAAAGGATCTAGTCCCAGCTCCACAGCGACCACGGTTTGCTGCGGATTACAGAGAATGCAGGGTAAGATCCCAACGAACCCCAACACAAAGTGTCCTCACTCCCCATCCCAACATTCTCTCTCTCCATTCCCGCACTCCCCATCCCAACATTCTCCCTCTCTGTCCCCGCACTCCCCATCCCGACATTCTTCCTCTCTGTCCCCGCACTCCCCATCCCGACATTCTCCCTCTCCGTCCCCTCACTCCCCATCCCGACATTCTCCCTCTCCGCCCCCTCACTCCCCATCCCGACATTCTCCCTCTCCGTCCCCTCACTCCCCATCCCAACATTCTCCCTCTCCATCCCCTCACTGCCCATCCCAACATTCTCTGTCCCTTCACTCCCCATCCCAACATTCTCCCTCTCCGTCCCCTCACTCCCCATCCCGACATTCTCCCTCTCCGGCCCCTCACTCCCCATCCCGACATTCTCCCTCTCCGTCCACTCTCCTCACTCCCCATCACAACATTGTCTCTCCAACCGACTGCCTTCTCATCTCTCTCTCCCCTCTGCCTCCTACTCCTCTCTCTTTCTCTCTCCCACCAGCCTTCTCATTCTCTCTCTCCCATCTTGTCCTTCTCTTTCTCTCTATCCCCCACCGTCTCTCTCTCTCTCTTCCCTGCCATATTCCTCTCTCTCTCTCTTCCCTCTCTCTCCCTCTCTTTTGCTCTCCCACCCTCTCTCTCTCTGCCCCACCCCCCAATTTCATTCTCACCCTTCCTTCTGACCATCTCCCCCTCTCTCTCCTGCCTACCTACTCTCCATCTCTCCCTCTCTCCCACCGTCTCTTCCACTCTCTCCCATACTCCTTCTCTCTCTACAACCTACCTCCTCTCCATCATGCTGTGTCTCCGCCCTCCCCTTCCCTCTCTCTCTGTCTCTCTCCTACCTATCTACTCTCCATCTCTCCGTCTCTCCCACCGTCTCCACTATCCCATTCCCCTTCTCTCTCTCCAACCTACTTTCACTGCATCATTCTCTCTCTCCCTCTCTCCACCATCCCCTTCCCTCTCTCTCTGTTTCCTACCTACCTACTCTCCATTGCATGCGCTCTCTCTCCCTGTCTCTTTCTCCTGCGCTCTCTCCCTCTCTTTCCCATCACCGTCTCTTCCACTCTCTCCCAATCAGCCTCTCTCTCTCCAACCTACCTACTCTCCACCTTACTCTCCTCCCTAACTACTCTCCCAGTGCTCTCTCTCTGCCCATCCTGCCCTGTCTCTTGTACCCCCTTCCCCACACCCCCCAGGGCCCAAGGCCTCACCTCCAGAAGCTGGTCAAGTCGAGTTGGCTCTACGCACGCGTTATCGAGCAGGAAGCTCTCCCGGGCCTGAGAGACGGACGCCTGCTGACTTTCCGCATAGGGTTGCTCCAGGAGCTGGAAAACAGTCGCTCCGACCATCAGGTACATGAGGACCACCAGAAGGACGGCAAGAACCGTCGTCTTCTTCATCACCTTCGCTCGGCGCGCACCCTTGGCCCAGTCCGAATCAGACGACAGTGTGGTGCCCCCACTTGGAGGCACGACCTCTGACCCCGCACGTCCCACTACAGAGAGGAACGGTGGGTGAGGGAGGGGGAGGGGTTGGCAATTAGAACTGGGTCCTGACACCCCGCTCCCCCCACCTCCCCGAAGAACCAAAGCCACTTAACCCCCGCCTCACTGCCATCCGGCCCCCGCCTTGCCAAATTAGGCCAACATGCCCATCCCCTACGCACTTCCTCACCCCCTCCCCTATTCATGAAGGGACTCAGGGTGGTGGGGGATGAGCGGCAGGTGTCGTTCTTCCTGTGGAAAGGTTTGCGCCGCCCCCTTTAGTCAAAGAGCAAGCAGATTGTCATGGCTCATCAGTAAGGCTCACTCCACAGCAGGGGTGGGGCACATCAAGGCCGAACTGCCTGCAGCCCATCCAAGCTGCGTCTGGTTTTTCAAACACTTTTTAAGGCCTCAGGACCATTGAGACACATCAGCTCCCTTCATACCTCTCCTTCCACCAGCCTACTCCCAGGAAGGCTTCGGGCCTTTCCTACCTTCTCAACCCCTCCCTCCCTCCCCATTCCTGTCCATGGCCTTTTGGTTCTAATCATGTTTCCCAGCCTTTATGTCTTCTCCTGGGCTACAGGCAACTGCCCATTTCTCCAAAAATAAACTTCAGGCCTTCCCCTGGGTGTGTCCCTCCCATATTTTGCCATTCGGGCCTTCTCCTAGGTTATAGGCCTTGGGTATAGAGTCTAAGGGCATCTTTAGGCCCTTCCCCCTTGATCTAGGGACTGGACCCAGTTTTCGGGCCTTGGCTGTATTCCCTCACTTTGCCATTTTGGGCCTTCTCTTAGCCTTTGACCTCTGACCCTTCCCCCAGGCAACAACAGGGCTTGGCCCAACTTTGACACTGTTGGGCCTTTTCCCAGGTTTTAGGCCTTTATTGGCTGCGGGCCCAGTTTTGGGGCGATTGGCTCCAGACTCGGACTGCAGAAGGGCCTTAAATCCACCTGGGCCGGGGAGGGGGCTGTTGGGGTAAGGGACGGTGAACTGGAAACAGCACCCAGCGACTACAGGGTGGCCTTGTATTCTGTGCAGGATGAGCTGGTGACCCATGAGGGTTAAGGGTCTAAGCCCGAAACGTCAGCTTTCCTGCTCCTCTGATGCTGCTTGGCCTGCTGTGTTCATCCAGCTCTACACCTTGTTATCTCAATAAACAAAACAGGACAGCCACCCCCCATCGTCATCAACTCAATTGGAGTCCACCTCAGGGAAGGTGGGATAGGAGGGAGTCCATAAATACTGGCAAGAATCAGCCTGGGTGATCGAACCGTCTATGGAGGGGACAGGCGCTGCCCTCCCTCTGGGATCTAGACCACTCTGCAATTTGAGGCTGGCAAGGGTGGGGTGGAGACTGTGATCCTGGAGGGGGCAACGAGAGAGAGAGAGAAATGTCGGGGGGAAACGGGCAGGTTAGAGGCTGTGAGGGCTTCTGTGGTTAAATAGCTCCTGGGTCTGACCTCTTTCAGAGGATAGAGGGGGAGTACACATGCAGACTCACACACAGACTCTCACACTCACACACACACACACACACACACACAC